TTTTGACGTAAACGACATCTTCTCCACACTGATGCTCTCGTTTTCCGCAATATATGAATTAACAACTTAGCAGCGCCGCATCTAGTGGGTTCAACTGGATAGGCTAACAAAAGCATTCAAGTGCAATCAATGACACCGTCATCGCATCTCGTGCGCCACTGATAAGGCTGCCTGACGGCTGACGCAGACCTTAAATTCGAATGCAACGTTTTTGCATTCGAATGTGGATTTTTTTGTTTTTAATTCGACGAATATTCGAAATTGGAATTTTTTTTTTTTTTTTTTACAGCCCTAGAGTGGCTCCATGTTCAGTTCAGGTCGGACTTAACCAAATAATGATTTGCAAATCATTGGGAGTTGATTATAAACTTTGTCTGATTCAAAACACTAACACAAATGAGTTTTGTGAATATTTATGCCTGAATCAGTAAAAAGAATGAGTCATTTGTTTGTGAATTAGACTTCACTGCTCGCACTGTTTGTTGTTGCGTGCCAGAAAAGAAAATGCATTCAATAGTTTCTCTCTTTCTCTGTCAGTGGGTAGAGAGTGGTTACTCCACGCAGTGGTGCTTCGAGAACTTCATCCAGTTTCGCTCCATGAAGACAGCTCGAGATGTCCATGATCAGCTGGAGGGGTTGATGGACAGGATCGAGGTGGAACTGTGCAGCTGCAACGGTGAAAGTGTGCCCATTCACAAGGTGATTTCCTTATTCCCCCCTCACTTCCTTTCTCGCTTTTCTTCCGGTGATATTGTGTTTGTGCAGAAGCTTGCTGCTTTGCATGAGATTGGTATCTTAACTTTATGAACCTGAATTTAGCTTTATAGACTGAATTCACATAAGACACTCTTACTTGTGGCTCTTACCAGCTAAAAACATTGAAGTAGAATTTGTGGCACAATTTGCATCGTTAACTATTAAGGTAAGTGCTTGCTTGTCTCATTAGGGCTTTTCACATTGCGCTTACCCCAAGGTGAACATCTTTTTAGTCCAGGTTACAATGTTTTTTTATTTTCTACTGATAGAAAAATGTTGAACAGGGAACAGTTGAACAAACATAGTGACAGGTGAAATTTACCTGTCAAGAGTAAATATGTGTCTCTCATGTGTTTGTTTTTCAGTACTTCCTGTTCTGTGAGAGACTAGTGTCACTATGAATCATCAGTATTTAAAAGACAATGTGATCTTTCACATCAGAGGATTTAAACAGGCAGACTAACATAATAGCTGAATGCCTGCATACTTGCTGACTGTGTGTTACTACATTTTAGCCAATGCTTTTTTATATTTAAAGGTGTTTGGCATTGATGAATGCAGGTTAAGTGACTAAGAATCATTTGTGGTATGAGTAACAGTGCACAAATCCTACTTTTGTCTGATTTCAGATGCAATAGAATTATTGCAAAATTAAGTCACTCAGTTATACAGTTTAGTGGTCTTTATGCAAAAATATTTCACTGAATGCTACTATTGACCAATCAAAACCATGCATTTTAGACAGCCGTGTATTAAGAAATATCAATAAATTATAGTATAAATTCACCAGTTCATGATCTAAATGTGATTGCGTTTTCCTCCAGGCGGCGACTGCAGGATATTTCTACAACACGGCACGCTTGAGCAAAGGGGGTTATAAAACAGTCAAACACCAGCAGACTGTTTACATCCATCCCAACAGCTCACTCTTTGAGGAACAGCCACGTTGGATGATCTACCACGAGCTGGTCTTCACCACCAAAGAGTTCATGAGACAGGTATGGAGTCGGCCTTCACTCTGTTTGTCTTTTTAGTCAGATATCACTAATATTGTTGAATTATGTCATAATTCTGTCATTATTTACTCACCCTCATGTTGTTCCAAACTTGCATATGCATTTCTTTCTTTTTGGAACACAAAAGAATATATTTTGATGAATGTTGTATACCGAACGGTTTCGGTTTCCAATTAACTTCCATAATATGGACAAAAAATACTATGGAAGTCAATGGAACCTGAAACTGGTTACCAACATTCATCAAAATATCTTTTCTGTTTACAGTAGAAAGTCGTACAGGTTTGAAATAACATGAGGTTAAGTAAATAATGACAGAATTTACATTTTTAGGTGGACTTGAAGGTTTAATGTTGCCGATTGGAACAGACTGGCTCTTTTTTACAGAATACATAAAAATATGCTTTATTCTAAATGTTCTTTCTGTCTTTCAGGTGATAGAGATTGAAAGTGGCTGGCTGCTGGAAGTGGCTCCTCATTATTATAAGAACAAAGAACTGGAGGACGGCAGCAGTAAGAAGATGCCCTGCAAACAAGGCAAAGCCCGTGAAGAGCTAGGCTGATCCTGAGATCCGACGAGCAAGAGACTCTTCCAGCCAATATTACTACACTGATTCTGCACAGGAGATCAGCGATGTGAGAAACTCCATCAGTGTTCATCTGGAAATTATCAGACGTCTCCTATTTTGGAGACTCCTAATTTTTACGTTTCAGCTAAAGTTGTTTTCATAAAAAAGATATTGAAATATATTTTTGATTACAAGTATACACGTTTTTTTATTATTATTTATATACTGATCTGTGATATGACCTCTGAAACTATTTAAAGAGATATGGCTGGATGTGGATCAAAAGAAGGATGTTATCAAAGGTCATGCTATTGAAGATAATTAAGGGTGCTTTCACACTTGGTTCGATTGCACCCCCCTCCCCCTGCCCCCGCTGGACTGTGTTCACCTTATATTTCGTTTGCGTCATCAAGCCAGCAGCTATTTACCCTGTTGCTTAGTAACGAACGACGGCGCAGGATAAGGTGGCAAAATGCATAGCACCCATATTTTATATTTATTGTTTTTAAACCGTCCCAGCCTGCATATGACCCACCTTCAACGTTGAAATATGGTTGAAATAATGTCAGTTCTTGTTTTAATGTTCATACAACGTTTAATGCTGAACGGTTTTGTTTCCAAAGCTTCAGTACATAACGGCACTTACGTCTGGCTTACGAATGTACTGCAAATTCACTAAAGAATGCTGAAGGCGAACAGAAATGAGATATACAGCATCTGCTTGCAGCGCGTCAGGAAAGTGAGTGAAACACACATTTTTATCAAATAATATGTCATTAATAGCGGTTCACTTCCGTGATTTGGTACGATTGCGTTCACATCAGCAGCGAACCGTACCAAAGTTCGCTTGAACTGTACCGAAACCTTTTTCTACATTATTTATTTAACTTTTTTTTTTTTACTATAGAAAAACATCATTCTGTCCCTTGAAAAGTTCAGATAGATTAATATATAGCCAGCAGTCAATGATTGGTAGTTTCCAGTCATTTGTAGTTTCCCCCTAAAGCTCCCTGATGAACAGAAAGGACAGCTGAAATTAGCCATTAGTCAATGATTATCTAATGTTGTAAAATTCTTTGTCAACAGAAATGTTTTTCTTTAACCAGAAATCCATTTGAATGATTGGCACAATATTATATAGTCACGTTTGTTTATATTAATAGCTTTTATGACTATGTGATCCAAAACAACACCAGATGTTGATCAAGTTTTTGGAGGAAAACTAGGCCATAACTTAACAGAGGTGTGTTTTGAGTTTTGGGGGCCCTCAGCAAGTGGTCCCGGGGGGAAGGGGGTAGAAATTGCATTACGCAAGGGCCCCAAGCAATTGCGTGGTGCCTAAACACGCTACTGATGACTTTGGCTATTCACAGAGAATGCATTTTGCAGTTAAAAATGTGAGACGCAGGGCACATGGCATAAAAAAACCCCTGCTAGATATGTGTTTTTTTAAAAGTTGATTGAAGCAATTGAAAAAGTTGATTGAACAGTTGAAAAGCATAGTAGTGGGGAAAAAATGTTCTTTGTGAATGGCCTCTTATGAGCGTGCTCAATTTTGCATTCTTTTTAAAGGGTTTTTTCAGAGTCCACATTCAGTATTGCATTCTTTTTGATGCTGTGCTGTCTAATGTATGTGAACCAACCTGATATCTCAAGAAAATGTCAGTATTTCATGTGATTTGTTCATGTGAAGGTCCACCCCTAAACCTAACCTTCAATGGGTCGTAATAAGATCGAATGAAAATTACGAACGAGATTGTACAAAGTCTTACTAATTAGCCACAAATTCACCAAAACGTAAAATGGTTACAAATTTCAGTGAGAGTGTTTGGTGTAAATGGTCACTTATAAAAAGTTCCTCTGCATTTCAAGTATTTAAAACCAAATCATCAAACAGTCTTATGTGGTAAAGACCAGACAGGATAGGCTGGTTTTCACAAATATTCACATTTTTTCTCTTCTCGTAATTCTCACAAAGCTTACATCTCACAATTCTGACGTTTTTTCTCTGAATTCTGAGTTTACATACCACAATTGTTTTTCTGACCCTGTCGCGGAATTTAAAAAAAAAAGGTAATTGCAACTTTTTTGTTGTGAAGGGGAAAAAAAATTCAATTGTGTGATTAAAAACTTTATATATTACTTTA